GGGCAGGTCACAAAGTCATAAGCAGACAAAGTCATAAGCACACAAATAACACCCGTTCTGCCTCCAGGGCATTTTCATCAAGGACTCCAACTCGCTGGCGTACTACAACATGAACAGTGGCTCCGTCATCCACCTGGCACTGAAGGAGCGTGGAGGCAGGAAGAAGTGAAGGCTGCTGCGCTTCCTCCAGCACCCTCTGCTGGCCTGGAGCAGACTGTCACGTCCAATCCAACTTGTGGTTCCGCTGGCATCCCAGCACTGCTGAGTAGCTGTTCTTGGGACAGCAGGCAGATATGGATCATTTACCAGTTTCCCAAAATTTCCCTGCAGAACCTGTGTCATGTACCCCCCCCCCCTCCTCACCCGTTTCAAACAGCTTTGAAAAATATAGTGATGGGATGGCACAGAGCGCCACCTGCAGGCCGTGACTGTCTCTGTGTACATGCCACTTGGAGTTTGCTTTGGGTGACATTCTGCTTTACTTAATTGCACAACACACTGCTTGGGCATCAGTCTCTCACTGTGGTGTGCTACTTTTTTTTGTTTTGTTTAAAGCATCAGCTACATCGCTTAGGAATCCTTGTTCTAAAAACCCAGTAATCTTGGTGATTTGCTGCAATCAAACTATACTGTGGTAGAAATGTATCCTGTGCTAGAAATCTATCTTGTGCTGATTATCTCAAAATCACCTTTAGGGTTTTTTTTTTTTTTTGGTAAGTTCCCCTCCAGACAAACGGCATTACCTGGCATGTTGCTATTTGCATGGAGATATTTTCAGTTGCTGTTGATGTGAACATAGATAGGTTTGCTTAATCGTTATAGGTCTGCTGTAACACACATCTCAACTTTGTATAGTAGATTTGCTTTCTAAACTTTAAATAAAGTCATTTCCTTCTGGGTACCTGAGTTGTTTGTACTTACTGATACCGTCAGGTGGAAGAGTAGGGGAGTAGGTCTGTGAAATGAAGGGTAAGCTATGCCTGTACCCCTGAACCCCGCCGCAGGTACCACACAGATACCATAGTTGACTAATGTACTGTCCGCAAAAATTGGTTCTTTTTACCTGATATCTTTATACAGAAAAGTGCGTGCGAGAATGTATCCAGCAATTCATCCTGTTAATGAAGCTTAAGCGCCAGCTCTGTCCCCCCGCCACGGCCCTCTCCCCGGAACGCGTAGCGCTGGGCGGATCTCTGGCCACCCCGGTCACCAGTGCGCAGATGTCGGAGGCACAACAGGGAGATACGGGGGCACCGAAATCCAGACGGCAGAGGAGCAGCGCCGTTTTAGTTGGAAGGCAGGCGGACAGCAGTTCGGAGGAAGCAGAATCCGGCTCGGCAGGAAGGGCTGGCGTTAGCAGCGCCTCGGACACGCAAGGCTGGTGCCTTTAAAAGGCTCCGTCACGAGGACTAACGTTAAGCAATCGCTGGATGTGCGGTTAGTTACCGAAAGCGGAGGCGATCTGGCGGAGGAGGCGCATACCGAGCGAGCAGGCGGAGAGCCCACGCCTAGGGCGGCAGCGGACGACGGACACGGCAGCTTGGTGGCCGGGCGCTGGAGGCGGTGCTCTTCGGCCGCGATCTTTCATAATCCAACCTAATCACCGGTTTGATGATCAGCACAGCGAGTTTTCGGCGTCGGGGAACTTGGGTCGGGCTCAGCTAGACAAAACTGTCGTCTACCGGAGTCGCTGCTCGTTTTTCATTCTGAAGTTTGGATCTGTCCGTTTTACCCGGAGGGTTCCTGTTAGTGCTGCTGCTGGGAGCGTTAGGGTTACTCTTAGTGTTACCGTGTTACTCAGTTACTGTTAGGAGGGTTTCCTTTATTTGGCTTGCACTCTCCACCGGGATCTGACTTCTCCATGACCGCCGCCTTATGAGGAGCGGTCGCCTGGTTTCCCCCGGCCGGAGAACCGGAGCCAGTTTGGTGGCAACTCCGCTTAGCGGAGACCGAGAGAGACGGAGGCGGAGCGGCGACAGGGAAGCGGGCCGCCAACCATGGCCGAGACGGAGGAGAATGGCTGCCGGTCGGTGACTGATTCCGGCAGCCTGCGGGGAACCACGGACAGCCTGGCAGACGGAGAGAGCTCCTTCGGTTCGGACTCAGAGATCAACGGCTTCGCCAACACCGATAAATACGGATTTATTGGGGGGTCGCAGCAGAGCTCCGGGGACTCGTAAGTATGCCACATATAACATGGTGTCCCATAAAACATACGAAACATACAGACATCAGTAAAAGCTGTGTCCCTGTACGCCGAGTGGCCGCCCGCTCGGTGCAGCTTCATGGGCGAGTGCCTGACCGTGTCGCTGCGGGGGTGGGCGTCCCGACGGGGTGAGCCCTGTCTCCAAAAGAGCTGGGACGCTGTGTCAAATGTGGTTAAAAACAGAATACAATGCTTTACAAAGCGTATAAGCCCATATTTCATTGACAATATAACAAAGACAACATATCAAATGTTGAAACTGGGTCATTTTATTGTTTTATGACAAATATATGCTGAATTTGATATCGGCAGCATGTTTCAGTAAAGTTGGGACAGGGGCATGTTTACCGCTATGTTCCATCGCCTCTTCTTTTAAACTTTTGGGAACTGAGGAGACCAGTTCCGGGAGTTTTAAAAGTGAAATGTTGTCCCATTCTTGCCTGATATGGGATTTCAGCAGTGCAAGTTTGGAGTCTCCTTTATTATATTTTTTGTTTCATGAATGTTTTCAAAGGGTGACAGATCTGGACTGCAGGCAGGCCATCTAGCACCCAGACTCTTCTACTACAGAGCCATGCTGTTGTAATACATGAAGAATTTGATTTAGTATTGTCTTCCTGAAATATACAAGGCTTTCTGTGAAAAAGACATTGCCTGGATGGCAGCATATGTTGCTCCAAAACCTGTATATATCATTCAGCATTAATGGTGCCTTCCCAGATGTGCAAGCTACCCAATCCATGGGCACTAATATTAATCAGAAAACAATACAATTTCAGCATTCGATATGTTGTCTTTGTTCTATTTTCAGTTAATTATGGCCTTATATGATTTGCAAATCGTTGCATTCTGTTTTTTACTTATTTTACACAACATCCCAACTTTTTTGGAAATGGAGCTGTATTATGAATCCCCTGCTCATTTCTGATGGTTAAGTGCTACAAATGTCCCATGTATGTTTGTGAAACATATGTGGTATGAACTTTTATTTTTTTTGAATGACTAGACTATAAAAACTGGCCGGGTGGGGCTTGA